TAGCTCACGCGTGATAGCACGTTTTGATTTTTTAACTTCACACGCATTTCGACTCGCGTGTCATCACGAATTTGGTCAATCAAGAAAAATATATATTTTTAATAATGTGTATATAATCAAATTCTTCTTTCGTCATTCAGAAATACATATGAAATTATCTTGGATCGTTCCGCAGTTCTTGAACTAGACGATAGGATTCTCCCAATGTTGACCTATTTTTATTAATATCGTGTACCCAGTACGATCGGGTGGATTTTTTATTTTGTTCGTCCAAAACTGCAAAAACAGGTGCAGTTTCTAATTAGTAGGGCTAGGATAGTATAGGATTTTGCATTTTTTTTTTTTAGGATTTACAGGACAGCTTTTCAAGCACAAAATGTGATTTGGTCATATATGAATCCTAATATATAGTTTTTAATTTGCTTTTTTATGGATTTAGGGTCATTTTTTCAATTTTACGGGCATTTTTATACTTTTTTGAAATCTTGGTAATATTTTTATACATTTTCATTTACACTAGATGTTTTTGTAATTAGTAATTACTCTTCTCACTCTGAACTACTTGAAGTTACTATTTCTATTTTAATTTTACTTAAGAAAAAAAAACTTGTGTAAGAAACCTTAAGTACACACCTTATACCACAACACAGTGACTAGGTACTAAATTGTGACATATTAAAGTATGACATGAAAATATGACTATAGTTTATTTCTAAGCGTGATATCTCAGATTCAATGTGCCAACATGACAGCACAGAGTTCACGTGACTTGACAATAGTTGTTCCCATCTTAAATCTCTCCATAGACACGCAGCAGTAAGCTCCATTCGTGGTAAATGACATCGCGAATTTCGTGCGGTCCCGGTGTGCCGCGATCGCATTCGTCAACGGGTCTAGTCGACCGTAACGACGTTTCGACAAGTCGAAATAACGCCACCAGTACGTCGGGGCCGCGGCTCTGAAATCTTCGTGTGTCGTTTTGAATTCCTCGTTATTATTTATTAAAGGTTTTTCCGCGCGCAACAGTTCGTACAAGCCCATGGCGTTGTACCGCTAGTGCTTGGGTCCCGGACGGAATACGGGAAATACGGAAAACGATCGCGATCCGTTTCGCCAGTTTATGCAAAAACGGAACCAGCGGCCACCAGTTTTTCTCCGGGTCCACGAAACCCGGTATTCCGGGGTAAACCAAAAGTTTCGAGCAACTCCGTGATTTCCGAGTTGCGGGCGACTCGATGTTCTCGAGAAAACAGTTCTTCGTAAATCCGACATTTCCAAACACATTTGGGCGTCCAGCCTTCGTATTGCAAGTACACGTAACGCACCACTTGATCGTACAGGTGCACGCAAATAATACTAGATTTTCATGAATTTTCAGGCGATCTAAACCAGTGGTGATCAACCTGAGGGGCGCGCCTCTCTAAGGAGATGTGAGAAAATGTCAGGGGGGCGTGAAAATGTAACAAAAAAATAAATACGACAAATGAAAGCATTGCCGTTAGTTCAATGGTTCAAGATCGTCTAACAAATTTAGCAATACTTTCAATCGAACACAAAATTGCATCTAAAATGGACTACATTTTAGTAATTGAAGAATTTGCTTCCAAAAAATCCAGAAAAATTAAATTTTAATTATGTATTTACTATGTAAAATATAATAATAAAAGACAAAAAATATGATCTTAGTATTGAAAGGAATAATATATTATTTAAAAATTAATAAAATATAATTACATTGTATTAATTTTTTTTTTGTGGGTGGGGAAGGGCGCAAAATTTTCGTTTTGCCAGAAGCGCCACATTTGATCGGCCTGGCCCTGATAACTTTGGCTTACTTTTTATTATAGCAATTTACTTACTGAGTAAAGACTACCTACATTGCAATACAAATTAAAGAAAATACAAATTTTAATTCTGAATCATTATTTATTATTTAAAAGCATAGTAGAATATTCATAATTCACATTAAAAATATAATATCATTTTTTGGATATCCCAAAATAAATAATCACTGTTCATTGATAAAAAAACTAGACAAAATATGTTAATAATAGTTTTAAAATACAAAAAAATTTAATGAATATAAAAATAAAATTGTATGCACATAATATATTAACATTTGAACAAAATGTAGAACTAATTTCAAGAAATAATTATTTTATTTGAACTTATATTTTATTACATAACTTACAAAATCAGTTATTTTTAATTAAAGAAATTTATTGATTCTGAAAAAAAAAATAATAATTGAAACAAATAACATAGTAAGGAAGTGTAATATTAAAATAAATACATTTAAATATGTTTATATAAAATACATATTTAATATTTTAATTATTATAATTTATAAGGTTAACTTTTAGTTATTGATCATTTTTCGATTTTAAAATTATTCTTATTATTATTTATTACTAATTATTTTCAAAAATAATATTGTAATTTTGAATTAATAGTGTACATGGATGAATTTTATTGTGAAATGAATAAAATAAGTATTTTAAAGAAATACATATTAATTAATAATTTTGTAATATAATAGTAAAATAATTTATTAAAATATACAGCAATAAAAATCATACTTACACAGTTGTCTCCAGTTCACTAAATACGGTAGTTGTATCACATAATAATGACTCTAAATTACTTTTTTCCATTAAAACAACGATACTATTTTCACTTATGCCCATTTTCCAGAGTTTGGATAAAGATTTCTGAAAAATAAAATAAAATTATAGTATGTCTAATTTATCATAAATTAGATTTCATATATATTTAGTAAAATAATACAAGGAAAATTAATTTTGAATAAGAAACTTTTATTTCTATCAAACTATGTTTATCTTATAGTATAATATTATAATATAAATAAGTAAAATAAATAGGTTGTCAAATACCAATGAAATTGACTACAGACATAAAAAAATCATCATCAGAAAAATGTTAAGAAATTATGATTTACATAACATATAAGATTTAAAAGATTAATAAGTAAAAAGTCAAAAACTCCATCAATAAAACATTTGTGTTATCAAATTGAACAAATGAATTAATAAAATATTTAATATTACATAAACATAAAATAACTAAAAAATATTCTATTATAAAAATTAAATAAATTACCACAGAATCTGCAAGATGATCAACTTTAATAAAACTAGAGCCACCAAACAAATTTGATATCTCATCTAAACGTTGTTGAACAGGATACACAATTTTTTTTTCATGTTTTATTTTCTTCCAAAGTCTACAAAAAAAAAAAAAATATTTATATATATTAATTATCCAATATATGTTATGAAAATATTTGCAAGAATATATTATTTATTCATAATTTTCACATTGTAAAACCTTATTTAAATTATTGAAAAAATATTTTCAATAAAAACATTAAACATAAAAAATTAATTGAAATTATTAAGAATGTATATCACAATATTTAAATTTTTAAGTAAAAAAATCTTTTGATCCCTCTTATCAAAAAAGTCAATATAACTTCTTATAAAAAATTTCATCCCAATCTAACAAAGTATCCAAATCTCCTCATTACGGATCTACTAAAACTCACCATTCCTAATGACCCCAGAAGATGACATAATTGGTGTTATTAACATAATTGGTTAAATGTAATGTGAATGTAACATTAAATGTAACGTAAATATAATGTGGTTAGTAATAAAATTGGTGTTAACATAGATGTTAATAGATTAGTTAGATTTTTAAGAAATTATAAATATAAATATTTAAAATATTATAAATAAATGCCATTAAAATGCCTTAAATAATATAATGATTCTTACCAAATTATTATTTTAATTCTTAGGCTTCCAATACACTATATGGCTAAGTAAGATACACAAGTGTAACATGTTATTGTAGGACTGCCAAAATTAAATTTTAGAACTTATCAATTTATTATGTAGAATGTAATAAATAAATAAAGTTTAACTATACATCTTTTAATTTAATGAAATTGAATGAAAAATTAGAAAACAAGAACATTATTTACAATATTAGTAAAAAAAAAAAAAAAATTTTAATGTTTAATAATTATTACACCATTACACATGAATTATTTTAATGGTGTACTTTTATTTAAAGGGTTTACAATATATTAATTTCAACTTTATATTTTTTAATTTCCTAGGTAATTTATAGTAGAAGGCAACTTCAACGCAAAACATAACACTTGGGGATGCATGGCCGAAAATCAGATGTAAAATACTTTTTCAAATCATATTTGAAAACTAATATTCCGTTATTTCTTTTTCTGGTCTAATCTACTGGCCTACTAATTTAAATAGATATCCTGACATATTAGACTATTTTATAAACAGATTACCAAGTAATTTAATCATTAGAGCATATAATTTATATGACCTTTCTAGCGACCATTCACCTGTTATATTATCTCTTAGTGGTAATCCTGTTGAAAATATTAGATCTTCTCTAACAAATGGACTAATAAATTGGATAATACCATAAATTTAAGTATACCTCTGAAAAAACACAATGAAATAGAATGTGCAGCAATACTAATGGTTAAAAATATCTAACAACCAACAAAAATCAATTCCTTCCCAATTACAAACCAAACTCTTAATATAAAAAATAAATTACCACACAGTATTCAAAATTTAATTGCATCAAAGCACAAAATCAGAGCACGCTGGCAATACTATAGATATTCCAACGATAAACAACTTAATCAAACAATAAATTTACTAAAAAATAAATTAAAACAATTCAAATCTGAATAATATCAGTTATACCTTATTAATTTATATCCATAAAACAGCCCACTATGGAGAGCAACATAAAATTTAACCAAAACTAGGGAAAATATCCTCCCTACGCTTAACTGACAATACATATAACAAATAAACAGAAAGCTAATACTTTCACTAACCAACTGCATAAAATTTTTAAACCACACCAAGATTTTGTCAACAATAATATCCACCACAACGATATATACAATTTTTTCAATAGTCCCTTATCCCAATGTCTCTACTGATAAAACCAATTTCACCAAGCAAAAATACCATAAAAAGATTACCTGATGATAAATTTCTTAAAAACAAATTATTAATAAATAAAATATTAAAATATCAAAAAAATGTATTCTTTTTCTAAGACATATCTGCAGTGAAATGTTTAGTAAATCTTATTTTTCCTCGCTATGTAAATTTGCAGTAATTATTTTAATTTACAAGTCTGGTAAGCCTAAACACTTATCTACTTCACACAGGCCAATCAACTTACAACCTATGTTAGGTTAACTTTTTGAAAATTTCTGGCTTAAAAGAATTCACTCAATAATGTTAAAAAAGAGATCATCCCAAATATTCAATTCAGTTTTCGCCCCAAACATTCAACTATCCATTAAATTCATTGACATCTATTAACAGATTCTGTAGCAATGGCATTCAAAAAAAAAAAAAACAATACAGTACAGCTTTATTTCTTGACATCAAACAAGTATTTGATCGAGTTTGGCATGAAATTCTAAGGAAACATCAAGGAAACGAAAATTCCAACTTTCTATATTGATGTAGGTGTTCGGTAAGGTAGTGACTTATTTCCTGATTTATATAACATATTTACATCCAATATCATCCATTATATCCAAATATGATACTAGAAATCTAAGCCAATAATACTGCTATTCTGTCCATCAACAACAACTCCATCACTGCTTTTAAAAAACACTCTTTAAAAATCGAAACTTGGCCAAAGAAATGGAAAACGAAAATAAATGACAACAAATCTGCTCATATTACATTCATCTTAAAAAAAGACCATTGTCCTAATAATAAAATCAACAATAGTCATACCATCATCCAACTAAATAAAATACTTAAGTTTAACATTAGATAAGCGACTCATATGGGGACCCCATTTAAAAATAAAAAGACAAGCAACAAACACAATACTCCACAACATTTGTCTGCTATTTAAATCCAAATTAAACCTAAAAACAAAATTAATATTAATATATAAATCAATAAAAAGACCCAATGGTTTTAAGGAATTCAAATATGGCCAAATATAGACAATTTTTCCAACATTTGTTTGATACAAGACCACCAGAACCATTACTCTTTGACTAATTATGGAAGCTCTGTGATACATCACCAATGCTTCCCTTTACAAAGTTATCAACATCTCAAACGTTAATGAACTAGCTACCATATATTATAAATGATTCCCACTACACTCGAATCCCATATAACTCCCTTATAAAAAATATGTCCTCCTATACCTTAACCAAAAACCATAAACGATGGCTTAAAAGGAATTGGTCTTGTGATCTTTTATTATAAAAATTAAATTTCTTTGTTTGTTTATTAATTACTAATTTGATTAAATAAGAAATTATGAGGGTGTTGTTAATAGGTTTCTTCTCCCAATCATGTTACTCATGTCAATTATATTTTTCTATCATATTTACTTATTGCTAAGTATTGTACAGATTGTAAATTTCTTTTAATTAAAAAAAAAACTGATATACCAACCTTGATATGCGCTCACGTGAAACTTCATCTCCGTAGATTAAAGATAATTTATTTATGTTAATAACTTTTAAATTAGAATCTTTTTCAATTAACATTTCAAGTCTTTCTGGACTCATAACAATTGTAACATTAATAATAGTTGTTTCTCCTTTCTTTAATAAAAATTCATCAGGTTGAATAATGTCTTCTGATGAATTTTCTAAATTATAATTTTAGGTAAGTATAATTGCATAAATTAATTCTTAAAATAATAAATTAAATAATAATATAAAGTAACACCTTGGCAAACTTTAAAAAATGCAGTAGTATTTCCAGAATTTGTTACAGAAAATTGAGCTGACATTAGTTGAGGATTTGGATATATCCACATGTTACCCAAATTGTCTTCAAATATTCCATTTATTGTAATAACTGAATGACCACAATAACCATACAATGAAATCTAGATTCAAGAAAACAATACATACTAGATATCAATTTAAACAAAAATTATTTAAAGTATTATATTTATATAATTATATAATAAAGTAAATAATATAATTTATACTTTTTTAGCAATATAAAATTAGCAGGGCACTACACCAGCAAGGGTTGTCTCTTTCTTACTAAGATACAGCATAAAAAATGTACGTACAATAGAATCAATTTTGGGCTGTTAGCTTTAGTATTAGAGTTAATTAAACTATGACCAAAATTAAAGGAAAAAATAATAACTATCTTATATTAGGGTTTTTATGATATTGTAATTTTAAAGCTATTTATAAGTTTTTTTCATCATATTTTTCATACTATATAAAGCCTTAATCTATTAACAAATACTATTTTACTTAATACAAAAAACTCGATGAATTTAGACAAGTCAAGTTTCTTTTTTTGTATTAAAGACATAATCTTACTAATATATAAAGAGACAGCATTAGTTTATTTGTTCACAAAAATCTCAATAACTATTGAATCAATTTCAAAAATTCTTTCACCATAACTACATTATACTTGAGTAACATAGGCTATATTTATAACTAGAAAAAAAATTAGGGATTCCTACTATAACTTCAATAATATAAGTCGAAATTTGATAAAAATATTATAGATTTAATTATTTCAAGTTCGAACTACGGTCTCATAGGCCTAACTTTTTGCATTTTTTTGTATTATTTTTACATATTAATTTTTTAATTGATCAGATTTCGGAAAAGATTTTAATATATTATATGACTTGGAAAAATTGGTTCGATATCCGAAAAAATAATAATAAAAGAAAATGTGTATTTTTGTTGTGCCGTCTTTGAATATGTTACAGTGACAATGACAGTGCTGTATAGGGACATAAATTGCCATAATACCCATATACTTATAATTTCTACTGATTTACCTTTCCAGTTTAAGAAACTTCAATTCCCTATTAAATTAAACTCTTAATTAAATTTCCTATTTTTGTTCCCTATTTGAATTATTACAGCTCAAGGCCAACTATTTCAGTATGTTGGTATTGATTTGCGCTCTGACTGTTTCTCACATAGACAGTTAAATATGGGATTATCAAGAACAGGTAAATCATAAAATCAGTTAATTAAATTACCAGATGATTTGAAAATAAAAAATGTTATTTACTCTAAAGTAATTAAATAAAATAAATATATAAATTTAAATAGTATTTAATTTTATTTAAGTAAATATTTCAAAAAAGATCGTATTACATGTATTAATGACACACAAAATAGTATATTATTACCTCACAAGATTACTATATTTTTAAAAAAAAAAATAATTAAAACAGAATAATTTAATCTGTACAACAATTTTTACGTACAACAATCTGCACGGGAGACAGCTATATATACATATGTATAAAGAAGGATAAATTGTAGGTGATAAAAAGTTCACCGATACCTATGAAAAATATAGCAATAGCAAAACGTTGTCAAGTCAGTTACATAAAATAAAAGAAATTAAATAAGTCCTAAATACTCAAAACTAACCACACAAGATAATTTCATCACAAGTAAAAATGCTTAATGCCCATCGAAGTAGACATGGGTCAGCTTATATTTAAATACAGTAAAACGGGACGAGTGTTATACAGTTATACTTATTAAACAGAAAATCTATTTATTTTTTTGGAATTAGTAAGACAAGTCATTATTTCTTTGAAATTCAATAAATAATGATGCCAAAATATCAGCAATAGAAACATTCAATAGGGGTGTTCAAATCTATCGAAAAATAAAAACATAAAACATTAACTTTTAATAATACTTACTACTCGCTTTTCACTACTATTTTGACGTTGTAAAATTATGTGACCATATGCCTGACCTTCATTTAAAGTTGATATAAGAGCAACACTTAGTTTTTGACTTTCCATAGGTTCTAATAATAATTTCATTTCTGATACTTGATTTTCACCAGAAGATATCAACTTGAAAATGTATAAATATATTATATAAAGTTTTCTTAATTAATAAATGATTTACTTTAAAACAATTCTTGTTATCTTCAATATTTAAAAGAAGTTTTTCCTTATGTGCTCCACGATTTCGTAAAATAAAAGTTTGTACAGATTTAGAATTTGATGGAACACTACCCCATATAAGACTCGAACATGTAGATTCTAATTCCAACTGTCCACCTGCAAAAAGCATAAAATATTATCAAAATATTACACTTAATAAGTACAAAAATACCTGCACTTGATGAACTTGAACTCCATGGAGATATAGGTCTTGAAGATAGCGAACTTTTGTGTACAAATTCAGCTGTAACAAAATATTACTATATTAATGTAATAATGTACTTAATAATTATTCAATAACATAAAATGAATTATGTAATTATCAATACAAATTGTCTTTACATTTAGGTTCAATGCAGTTAATTTTAACAGTAAACTTTTTTTTTGAAGACATAACTTGTAAGCAAATACTTGTTTCACTAAAATAAAATATAATTTATTAATAAATAATGTTTCAATTTAAAATAAATACAAAATTATAAGACGGAGAAAATACTTGATAAAGTTTATTGAATTAATTGGAGAGTATGAAATTTTAATTTTGATTTTTTCATTAATAGCCAACTGGAATTGATTAGGTTGAATAGTAAAATCAGTATGTTCTTTACTATTTTTTTGTACAAACAAGCTGATAGGCAATTCACTGTTATTGGATACTTCTAAGACACCATTTAATGTAGAATGTCCATTTGTTTGCAATATTAAAGGATTCTGATCAAAAGAGATTGATGTAAAACAAACACGTCCTAATAAATTAGAACAGTATAGCAATGGTGAATAATTAGTCGATAAATCTTCAACAGAATCTAAAAATACTAGAAGTCGACCAGTTATTAATTTAATTTTGTGGTTATTTGTTGAAAAACTCGATGTTAAAATATTTAAATCACATTCCCACAGTTCTGATGGATTGATAATTGCTTTAGCTTGAAAAATGTCTTCAATTTGATCCTGAAACATAAATTGACAAATTTTTTAAAAACGTTTAACCATAAACAATATTTATTAAGAAAGTCAATCAATGAATTCTAAAAAACAACTAACATTTTTTACTTAGGACTTTAGACTAACAAAAAGAAGATATAATTTTGTAACTAATGGTAATATATTTAAAAAAAAAAAATAACTAATAATATGAGAATAGCTCAATAATTTATATAAATTTATAAGTCAATAAGATAATTTTGGAATATTCTAAAATAATAATAATGAATTTATCCCTAATTATAATTATTCAAATAATATTATTAGAAATAATATATGTATAATAAATAAAGTACTCATATAACTTATACATCTTGTTCAAGTTTTAATCATCATTGTATACAAAAATAAAACATAAAACATTTTTAAAGAAACAAACTTTTAATAAATCAAAAATATTTCTTAGGTTTATAAGAATAATTAGAATTGTATCATAACACACTTTATCTAGCTTCAGCTATAAAAGTATTGTTAATTCATTGAAATCACTGATTAGTGTTGTATTTTAATACTACCTGAGATATTTAGTTTACAAATAAGTTTTTAGCAGTAAAACCATACTCTTAAGTCCATATACATTATGGGTTCTAATCTTCCAACTAATAGAAAGAACCTAGTTTCCCCAATATACATCTAATTGTTATTACTATCTCGAATTAAAAAAAAATAATAATAATAATATATAGTCCTGAATTGTATAATATTTAAACATACCTGGTTTAAAATAAATTTTATAGGAACTTGGCATGTACCCTTGTTTAATAACTTGATTGGAAGAGACTTTTGTGACAGTTCTGGTAATAAGCCAAAGTCTATGGAACCAAACGAGTTATTTACCCATATTATCTATAAAAAATAACGCAAAATAAAATATTTATTTCACATATAATTGAATATAATTATAAAACCTGTGGCTCAATAGAATTTATTTGTATATTTCGATAAATTTCTTGAGATATATCATTACTTTCAAGTTTTATATTAATATTTATAACACCTGAAATTAAAGGAATAATGCCAATCTAGAAAAAAATAAATACAAAATTAAACCATAATTCAACCAATTTTTATAAATTTATATTCATACAGTAAATGAAGCTTCTGTAAAAGCTGATATAGTGCACATTTTTTCTGAACAAAGGACCGTAGCAACTTTTGTTCCAGTAGGCTTTTTATCATCGAATGTATTATTTTCATTATATTTCAGTGATATATTTAATAAATTTAATGTATATTTAGCATCAATATTTAATTGATTTTCTAATGTAATTACAACTTGAGAGTAAGTTCCAATGCATGTATCACCTATTTCAAGTACTTCACTAATTTCTCCTTAAAATAAAAAAAATATTAATCTGTAAAAATTGTTAATATTCTATATAACTTATTTATTATATATTCTAACTGAAAATTAAATAGAATTTTAGATTAAAAATGGTTCAATGTACTATTTAAGATTCAATTTTTAAATTTAAATTGTTTGATAATCATAAAATATGAGGTACATAAGGTTGTTGAAAAAAATTATACAACTATTAAGAGTAGTCAAATTATATATAAATATTATTTTCTATGTAAAATAAATATACATTTAAAAAAACAAAATTAATTATTTAATTCAATAAAAAAATAAAAACTACTACTTGGATACAAACTCAAGAATTTGTATCCAAAAGAGGACATAATGTAGTTTATAAAGAGCTCAAGAATTGCTTGGACTGGACATGCATGGAGAGCTGATGGGTCTCTTATACAGATGGTTATGGTTAAGCTTAGGGACTTAGAACTCTAAAAAATACACAAATATGTTTCTAAAATCATTAAAATATGCATTTATATGCATTAGAAAAAAAAAAAAAAAAATGACCAGATAGTACACAAAATAAAACGTGTCCATCGGATTTAAATATATTTTTAAACTCCGAAACAAAATTTTGTAGTCGACTACTCGTAGGCTGTTGTAATTTCGGCATAACAATATATTACAAATTATCGCGTACGATGTTTTACGTATGATTCAACGTTATGTGGTTGTGAAACGCAAAAACAAAGACGGATAATAATTGACTGAACTGAACACTAAACAAATAATCTATTATTCTATATTGACTATTATCTTTATCGACATTCGATCAATATCCAGTGGATTATACGGTCGATACGGGTTTAAAGTATTATTTATACTTACACAAAAATTGTAACGAGATATGAGAAGTAGTTTGCAGATACCATATTACTAAAAGTCCTCTTAGTACATTTTTTTTTCGATCGGTTGAAATATGTATATATAGTTATATGTATCTATAGTTTTTAATTTTAAATAATAAAATTTGAGAAATTTGTCAAAATATGCAAAATAAGCGTAATAATGTTAAAATAAGCACTCTCCTGCAAAATCTATCAAATATGCAAAAATATGCATATTCAAATTTTAGATCTGATATCATGGCACCGAAAAATGAATTTATTTCGCACTTTGCTATATTTAACAATAATTAAAAAAAGTATGCAAATGCTAGAAGTCTCTAAGCCTAGTTATGATGAATCAAATAGATCGGAAAAGACCAAGGGGTCGTCCAAGGCAAAGATGGCTAGAAGTAGTTAGAAAAGATTTAAAGGAGCTGAAACCGGATTGGAACGGAAACATGGAGTTAGCTTACGCAAGAGAAGTATGGGGGGGATTTGGTTTTAAAAGCTAAAAGCCTAAATAACTCATAAAAGCAAAAAAAAAAAATTCAATATATATCTTTAAATTTACTATCTAATTATTAAATAGGAAGTAGTATTGATAAACATTAGGGAGTTTTTCTATAATATATTATATTTTTGTCATATAGCATATAGACTGCATTTGCATTAATATCAATTAATATTAAAAAAAAAACGCAAACTAATTAAAAAAACTATAAATATTTTTTGGTATGCCATAACTTAAAATTAGAATTTAATAAAAAGGAATATGAGAGTTTGTAAAATGTACAATGGTTAACTTTTTTCCATTTTTGGTTTTTGCTAATTTTTGTTAACATTTTTGAGGAAATTATAAAAAATATTTATGGTTAAGTATACAGTATGATCACGGTTTAAGATAACACTAAATATCTCAGGTGAATGACCTTGTATTGAAGCGAATATTTTAGAGTGCTTAGAGGGTACTTAAATACACATTTATTTATGATTTTCAAATTTTCAACACTATTGGTGTGCGCATGCGCAACATAACTTAATTTTTTTTAAATGGAAACACTACTTTTTTTTTACATATTCGGATAGATTATTTTTTTTAAACGTTTTTTGTATAAAAAGTTTTTTTCTATTTACAAAATTGACCAAGTTAGAATAAGTTAAAATTTGAATTTATGCATAAATCGTGTTTAATGAAATTTTCATTTATAACCACTGTAAATAATAAAATAAGTGTGAAATAATTAAAAATAATTTTTAGTCTACGATATTATTTTTAATTGAATCTGTTGTATTAATTTAATTCATAAAAAAATAGTTATAATCATAATAGTAATATTAATATTATAATACAAAATAAAATAGATTAAATAAATCTATCTAATGAATTATTCAAAGTTTTCGCCATTATGCTCTTAACATGATTCAAGTCGCCTCAAAAATTCAGTTGGAGTTGCCGCCTTGATTCGGTTCTCACTTAAAATATCACATGCCGCCTGTATTTTGTTTTTTAAGTCCTGAAGATTGACAGGTGGATCTGCATAAACCACAGTCTTCAAATATCTCCATAAAAAAAAATCCAGTGGCGTTAAATCAGGTGATTGAGCAGGCTAAGGAACGACACCATAGGTACTAATCCAGCGGTTCGGAAATATTTGATTTAAATATCATCTAACAGTAATTGCATTATGAGCTGGTGCTCCGTCATGCTGGAAAAACATTCGTTCTCGTGTGTCTAATGAAACATCATCCAAAAGTCTTGGTAGTTCGTTGGTTAAAAAATTAAGGTATCGTCTACCATTCAATCATACCGTTCAATCATAAAAGAACGGTCCTATTAGCTTTCCACCAACTAACCCACACCATACATTTATTCCCCAGACCGTTTGGAAATTAGTCTCACGTGACCACGCTGGGTTTGTGTCATCCCAGTATCGATAATTTTGTTTATTCATAATGCCATTGTTTGTAAATTTTGATTCATCACTCCAAAAAATATGATTGACTATTAAAGGGTCATCAAAAAATTTAACATTGAACCAAGCTATAATCTCTAACCTACGAATTAAATCTCCTGCACTCAAATGTTGGACGAAATTGATTTTATATGGGTGCATTTGTGTTTTTTTAGAATTTTTTGAACATAACCATATGAAACGTCAATTTTGCGAGAAACATGCCTAATTGACGAACGTGGACTAGCTTTTATGTATGCTAGTACCTGTAACTCTGTATCGTCATCAAAAATATCTGCTCTGAGTCTTTATTGGTTGATTTGTCTGCCGGGAAATCTTCCATTCTGATTTAACCCTTTTAGAAGACGTAAAACGTAATTATAAGGTGGATGGTATCTTTCTGGGTATCGTTCGGCATACGTCATAACAGCTAGGCGTACATTACGTTGACATTCGCCATAAATTAAAACCAACTCAACTTTTACAGCGTTATTCATATTTAAAACAATTATAATTTATAGGAGCACTTAATAACCAAACATAACGTACACGGATAACGTTCAGACTATGGTACGGGTATGGGGCTAGTCGAATAATAAAAGTAAAATAATATTTTTCATCAAACTAAATATCTTAATAATATAACATTATCTGATTATCTTATCGTTATTAAAGCTATTGTGAAATAAAATAAAATTCCACTGTAAAAATAGTTAAAATTGTAATCGCATTACATCAGTTTCCTAAACAAAAACTATCCCATACTCGAGATATTCTAGTGACCTACAGTATTATTAAATTATTATTTTTAAATGGTTCAAGTAAATTAAACATTTATTTAGCACTTATTTTATTATTTCCAGTGGTTATAAATGAAAATTTCATTAAACACAATTTATGCATAAATTCAAATTTAGACTTATTCTAACTTGGTCAATTTTGTAAATAGAAAAAAACTTTTTATACAATAAACGTTTAAAAAAAAAATAATATATCCGAATATGTAAAAAAAAAAGTAGTGTTTCCATTAAAAAAAATTTAAGTTGTGTTGGGCATGCGCACAACAAAAGTGTTGAAAATTTGAAAATCATAAATAAATGTGTATTTAAGTACCCCCTAAGCACTTCAAAATATTCGCTTCAGTACAAGGTCATCCACCTGAGATATTTAGTGTTACCTTAAACCATGATCACACTGTATACTATAAACTCAATAAATACTGAAATTTAAATTTTAAGTAGTAAAATATTTTAAGTTCCAAGTGTTTGTATTGGTCTTACTTGTAATACATTTAAATTAAACATAGTTTGTATTAATAAAGTATAATAAAAATATGTACAAACTGTAATCTTTAATGACTGATTGATTCAATTTATCTTGACATAAGGTTTCATTGCAATGAATAATTTTTGAAACATTGGCTGATTTGTTCAATGACATTTCAGTAAATTCATCATAATTATTAGTCAAAATGGAAAAATTAGATAGGTTGATATTATTTTCTAATATTTTTGCTTCTGATGTGCAATCTTCAAAATATCCTCTTTTAGGTGTCAAATTAAAATAACTATTATTCAAATGTAATTTTCTCTGTTTCCTGAAATAATTTAATAAAATACTTAGTGTTGTATGAATTATGTTTAGTGATATAGAAGTATACAAAAAATTTACTTGACAAAATGTTCAGACATATTGTTGTTCTTTTTATGTTGAAATAGAGTATTGATACATTTTTCATGTTTTTCATTATCATCTTTATCATTAAAGCTAATACTTTCATTAAATTCTAATATTTTTTTATTTGATATTGTTTTTGAATTATCAAAACTAAAATTTTCTAAGGATGGTAATGCTAAAACCATAATAATTATTATATTTTTTTATAAATATAACAGAAATATATGAGAGAATATTAGAAAGTTACATATTTCTGCATGCTCAAAATTTGGCGAAGCATTAGAGAATCTAGTGGAAGTAGAAAATCGTCTCGGAAGAAAATAATTTAGATCATTTAATGGTTTGTCATCAGACAAATCTAAATTTCAAAGCAAAGCAATAGTTAGTTTAATTTAATTTAAACAAATGTAAAATAACAATGTATAATCTACAAATTGTTATTTTATATTAAATATATATATTATAAAATGATAAAATACTAATTTAATACACACAATAAGGTTATACATTAATAAAAAAGTAATCATATTTGATAGTTAATAAAATATATTTTTCACATTTGTTTGGATATAATATATCTTTATAAATCAAATATCCACAAATATGTAATAAAAATATCATAAAGAATCTGACTGTGTTGTTATCTAAGTAATTAAAAGGAAACAATAAAATTGCCTAATAGTACAATTATACTTTAGAAACTTGATTATCCGGGGTAATGGTGAGGTATCTTGGATAAATGAGAAACACGGTTAATTGAGACATTGTATTAAACAAATTATGAAAAAATATATAATGTTATATGCATATTAAGTGTGTGCAATGTTATTTTTTTGTTAATAACTATTTTCAAAAAGGCTATAACAACAAATTCGACAGAATTGAAAATTTTCTATATGTATTAGTTATAATATGATTATATAAATATGATTTTTGAAGAACTTCTAGTAAATTTCTATTAATTTTAAAGAACTCTTATCTACCTGTGACATATATGACCATATTTTTATCGTCAAAAAGATTGCTTACGTTTTTCAATAATGTATATTATAAACGTAATATAAAAATAAGTTCGTCCGACCTAATAAAACTTTTTAGAAGAAAAATGTCAAACAACGATCATTTTGAAGGATGAGCTTGGTTAATCAAGAACACAAATAATTGAGACACGGTTAATCAAGATTCCACTGTATAAAAATATATTACAGCAAAATAAATACATTGAATTATTTTTAAAGATTCTAGGGTATTTTTATATTTTAGTTAATTATTGATAGGTAATAACTAAGAAAAGTGTTAGGTCAGCAGTTCTCAAACTGTGCTCCGCAGAACCCTAGGACTCCGCGGAAGAAGTCTAGGGGCTCCGTGGGCATATATTAATTATCTAAATTTAAATATTATTATATTTCTTAGTTATTGAGGAAAAACACTGGTATGATTACCTGAATTGTGCAACGAGTTATATGTTTTAGTGACACCAATTTTATTTACAAGACTTCTGATAAAACTTGGTCATTATGACTTCATAACTTGTGTGGTATTTTCACAAAATTAAATGAAATAAATTTATCAATATAACGTAAAATGACCAAAGTTTTTATAGTAAATAACAAAATCCGAACTTTAAAAAAAATGAAATTTTGAACTGTGTTTTTCTCAATATGAAATATTAATAATTATTGTTGTCTTGAATATAAATTATTGATTTTCGGGAATCCATAAATTTTTTTGAAAACATAAGGGCTCCACAGACAAAAAAGTTTGAGAACCACTGTGTTAGGTAATATATTTTTGGGTTGAATAATTAAAAAAATTAAATAAGTAATTTTGTGAAGGAATAAATTCTATACATTTTATACAAATCAAATAAAAATTAACTAATTAAAGTTAAATTCGGATATAAATAAATTAAATTTCAATTTTGTTCAAAAACAAACTTAATATATAATGGTTTTAATTATCATTTATGACAAATTCTTTTAACTTTTGTGGTGTGCTCTTTAAGGATAGAGTGTATTTAAGGATTAAAACTATTATTTATATATATATATATTAAAATAAAATAAGAGCATAATTTGAAAAATGGTTAGGCTAATAATATTACTATTAGATTACACAAAAATTAAACAATAATAAGAAATATAAAATTAATATTTCTTTCAATCTACTTACAAATAAATACATAATATTAATAAGGATATAGATAGACAGATAAGCAATACAAAATATTTCATGCTAATATTTAATTGTAGTAGATTGTATTACCTCCTGCTAACAAAGCTTTGGTAAGTTCCTTTGGATTAGCAGAATTTGTGTCAGATGTTAAGACTTCAGATATATCAGACAAGCTTGTTAAGTTTAATATGTTATTAGATACATGACTATCAGTCCATGATGTAATTGATGACATTGTCTTATAACCTACGGGTGTTTGGTCTAAAAAAAGATATGAATAAAAAAATATTATGTTTTAAAACTATTAACTACCAGAGTACCTTTATAGTTATTTTTGATATCACTTGGAATTAAAAGAGAACAAGGCTTTTCTTTTAATTCTTTGGTAAATGTGACATTATTGTTTGGCCTTTTTGGAAAAATTGCAGATAAGTCTTCTATCGGTACACTTTTAGCAGCAAAATATTTAGCAGCAAATGATCCATTTTCAACAGACTGTCTAAAATGTTAACATTCAAATGAATTAAATAAATAAATAAATAGTAGACTTAATAAAATTTAATTTGCATATAATTACTTTTCCCCTTCCAAAGAAAAATTAAAACGACTTTCAGATAATGATCCGAATTCTATGCGATTGGTATCTTCAATTTTTTTTAAATTTTCTTTAAACTCATTACCTGATATGAAATCATCACTGGAGAATGAACTGTTGGATTTATCAATGTGTACTCTAACACTAAATACATAAAATATAACTCATTTTCATTAACCTATTTCTAATAAATATTTTTATAGTAACTCACAAATCTTCAAACGCATTGGTGTTGTTTGTTAAAGATGTTTTAAAATTATCATTTTTTTTAGTATCTTTAAAAACAAATTGAATAAATTACAATATATTTTTAATCATAAAAAATTAAAGATACCTATACATACTATTAAAAATATTTAATCTTGAATTTGCTCTAGCTCTGGCCAAAGTATTTTCATTTTGAGCAGCTTGACTCAAGCAATGCTGTTGGACCGATGATTTATTATGATGGTTGAAATTGAATGTATCTCTTTTGTGTGTATTTCCAATATCTATAAGTTATTAGAGAATTTAAGATGATTGAAATATCTTTCTTAGTACATAATTTAATAATACCAGACATATTATCCAGCTCAAGAATGCCAAGAGAAGACTGCCCGCTAAATGATGAAAGCATACTATTCATTTTTACATTATTTTTACAATTTGAAAGTTCGGAAAATGTTCTTTTTACTAAATCTTCATCAGTTAATTCATCAGAAAATATTGAACTAAATGTATCATTGCTGTTGGAATTTTGAAGGCGATTAATAAAAGATCTAGAAAATATAAATAATGTTTTTATATAATTTAATGGCTAATTTTATTGCTAATATAAATTACCAACTAATTAATAAGTATTGAATTAATAAAACAATTTTTATTTTGGATAAATACATGTAGTTATAGCATAAATGATAATTGTAAAATAGTTATAGTATTGTACATAAAAATATACGCCATACGAATAAATAAAAATAACATAAAAATATAAAAATAATTTTATTTCTACCAAATAGTTATAATCTAATAATAATATAATACTCAAATGTATATATTATTCAATTATCATAGTTTACAATGATCACATAATTGTGTTGCATAAATGCAACATGGCAACATAATATATTTACATTTGATAAAAGGTTAAATATTACAGATTTCAAGTAATTGTGTTAGAATTGAACTAAATAAATTAGAAAATTACAAAAATCTGGAATTTAAAATAATATTTATAAATAAAAATAATTAAGTTAATAATTAAAATAAAAATGTAATATATGCCTTTATGCTATGTAAGAGTACCTATATAAAAATAGCAATGAACGTATAATAAAATTAAAATTGGTAGTAAGTATTTAATTAAGTAAGTAATTTTCTTGATTTAATCAAATTTACAAACCGTTGATTTGTAGATTTAATAGCTGTAGATGAAGCTTCAGGTCCCGATTCTAATTTAGACATAATTATTAAGGTAGTAAATATAAAAATTCTAAAACAATAAGTAATTTTAGTTAAATGAATGAACGCTTTAATTTATACACACACGATAATTTGAGTGAAAATATTAAAACTACCAATAAAATGTAAAAATTGATTTAAAAAACAATTTATCAAATTTGAACATTTCAAATTTAAATGGTTCCATTAATAGTTATTATATGACTGGAAGGGATTTGAGAAAAATGTTAAGTCGAGACGGTAAAAATCAGGAAAAATAATTAAGTATTAAAACAAATTATAAATGAAAATGTGTATTTAGTGTAAAGTGTGCTCAAACGTAACAGCATTTTATTATTGTTCATCATGAACACCAATAGATAATAAATACTTTGTAACTGGTTTATAACCGCCAATTTACAATCACAACATGTTCGATATTATCACAAAATAGATATAAATTACATTTTATCACAGATGTCTGTGCATTTTATGTGATATTATCACAGAATAAGTTTTGTACAGACTACGGTCTTAAAAGATCTTTTAACTAACCGTGGCTCATAGAATAAACGAAATTCATTTATTCTATGATTTTATCCATAGACCTTATACTCTAGTATAAAGACCTATGATTTTATCCAACTTTTGAGCGCGTGGCTACCGACTTTAATAGTAATAATTTAATATTCTGTGATAACAGTATTTATAATAACAAAGGGCTCGGAAGGTGTTAAATCATTTGCATGATTTTACTGGGTTATTCAATTTATTGCTAAGTAACTTATAAATTATTTTCATGACACTATGAAAAACCTAATGGGAACATTTTGAAAGAAAATTTTAAATTTCAAACTATTTATTTTATTTTATTTTATCTTATATATTTATACTTAGAAATTATGTTAAGCTTAGTATAATATACTAACAATATTTGTACTGTTATGTACGAGTATACTTATATTAGGAAAAAAAGTAACGGGAAAAAAGTCCTGCAGAAAAAAAGTTCCCTGAAAAAAGTCTACAAACTAATATTTGATTTAAATTCAGTCTTTTATGCACAAACAAAATAAAATATACAATAACATACAATATAATATAATAATATAATATCTTAAACAACTATAATAATATTAACCTAACCTAACCTAATTATTTAAAAAATATATTTATTCAGATACAAAAGATATGTAAAATATGTCTTATTATAGTATTTAAAAATTTTAAGAATGCAACTATTCAGATATAAAATATCACTTTCTTATATTTTAACCACTTTGCTTAGTATAATATATGGGTATGCTAAACCACCATTTTGTGACTCAACATTGATAAAATAAACGCCGGTAAATTCATAATTCCATAATATAATCATTATTTATTTCACATTATTTTTATATTTTACTTTGACCGTTGTTTTGTACGGTGATTTGGTCTATGTACGTATTTATTTTATTTACAGCTTGTATTTGACTCTTTCAGGTAAGATAAAACTGTTATTCACTTACATTATTTATTTTATAATTGAGCTCCAAATTTAGTTATTATGGGAGGTTGTATTGCTCCAAACTGTAGTAATTCTCGGAAAAACAAAATTAAATTGTTCCGTTTTCCACGAGAAAAAAGCAGAAAGGACAAATGAGTTCAGAATTGTAGGCGAGATAAGTGGATACCAACAACTCATTCAGAGCTATTTCAAGTATTAATGTCTAAAATATAAATATAGTGTGTTTCTAATATATGTATCTTCTAATTAGTTTTCATAAATATTAAAATTTAATGTTATGATCAAATAGTAGTTAATATTATATTATTTTATATAAGCTTGGCATTAAAAAATTATATTTTAAAATTTATTACTGATATACCTAATTTAGGGTTGCCATACTTCCCGAAAAACCGGAATTGTCACCGGTTTTGTATTTCGCGTCCCGGTGTCCCGAAAAATGTTTTAGGGACGTCCATATGTCCCGGCTTAGACATTTAGAGGAAATGTAGATTTTTTAATTTTTAATTTCGACTATTTTATCTCAAAGTACATTTTTAATCGTAATCGATTAACAATATATAATAATTTACACATATTATATATAATATATTTTATTTTACAAAATGTTTTTTAAATATTATATTGCCGGCCAATAATGGTCCTCTTCGGTGGTGTATTCATAACTTTTGTATGTAGGGATCATTTACAAATAAATCGTTATTTTTATTTTATCATTATTTTTATTTTTTTACGTTTCTAACGCCCTCACTCTAAGAACATTATTTTATAACAATTAAAAAAAGGCCTAGGGAGGATCTAACCTCCACATCCCCCACTTGTATACACCACTGGTCCTCTCAATATATTAAAAGTTATATAAAGAGTATAGTACTCAATATTGTGTTTGTGTTGTCCCGGTTTCGCTTTATAAATTTATGGCAACCCTAACCTAATTAGTTTATAGTATATTATAGTTTATTGTATTTAGTTATGTATCTACTAACAATTTATAATAATTATGTTTATGTATTCTTAAATTTAGTTCTACTTTGAAAACTTTACTAAAAATTAATACGTTATACGTAAAACTTTAAAATATGAGTTCAGACGACGAATGTATTGTCCTTTCAAAAGAAAAAAGGTGTTTCTAACAATGATAAATATAAAAGAAATATTATTAAGCAAGCAAAAATCGAAGGGAAAAAACATACAAACTGGATTGGAAAAATAGTTGCTGCAAAGAATAATCCTTCATTAATACTTAAAGAATGGTAATTATATAATATTTAGTTTGTTTTATTCGTTATTAATAAGTAGTAGCTTTTATATTTTTACAATAATATTTTCGATTTAAAGTTGTTCAAAAAAATGTCTCAAAGACAATCAACAAGAAAAACTTGAAGATACAATGAAAATGTTTTATGAAATGCATTCTAAAAATGAACAAGACCTTCATCTTCAACGAACAATAGAAATAAAAGAAATTACAAGAAAACGAAAACGAATAGAAACAGAAGAAGGAAAAGAAAAACCGAAATGCATAAGTGTTCAGTATTTTTTAATAGTAGATGGACAGCGTATTCAAGTATGTAAGAAAGCATTCATTAACGTTTATAATATTTCTAATAAAAAAATTAGACGGCTGGTCGATTTGTTAGAAAATAATATTACCCCAGTTGATATGAGAGCAAAAATATTAGTGCTAATACTATGCCATATGAGTATTGTCAAAAAATACATGAACATATACTGAGTTTTCCAACTAAAGATACTCATTACACAACACGATTGAAAAATTATTTGAACCCTAAATTAAATGTTAAAACTATGCACACAATGTTTTTAGAAAAGTATCTAGAATTAGAAGGGAAAATAAAATATCAATATTATTGGGAGTATTTTAAGAATAATTTTTCGTTAAGCTTTGGTGCTCCAGTCAAAGATGCTTGTTCAAAATGCGAATAATTAAATACAAAAATAATGAGTAAAGATTTAAATGATGTTGCAAAAAGAGTTGCTGCTGTGGAATTACTAGTTCATAAACATAGAAGCAAAAATTTTTATAATAATATTAAATAAACAATAGAGATTTCTCAACAGAATAAAAAAGTGTTAGGTCTTTGCTTTGATTTTATGGCTGTAGTTGACTTATCTAAAATACCGGTGCAGGTAGTATATTATTATCGTCAATTATCTGTCAATACTTTTGTTATTCATAATTTAAACACGAATAATTTATTTTGTTATGTTTATCATGAGGCAACAGCAAGAAAAACGCCAAATGATGTATGCTCTATTTTGGTTCACTATATTAATAGTTTTGTTGATGATGGTGTTGAGGAATCGCATTTGTTTTGTGACAAGTGTGCTGGGCAAAACAAAAACCATGCATTACTCAGAATGATTATGGCTCTAGTTGAAATTAAAAAATTCAAAAAAGTTCAGGTATTTTTCCACAAAGAGGACACTCGTTTTTGCCGTGTGATCGTGACTTTGCATTGATAAAAAAACAACTGAACAGAGTGGATCGTCTATACACTTTAGAAGACTATATAGAACTTATTTTAAAATCATCAAGAAACCCAGAAAATTTTTCAGTGTTTCTAGTTGATAAATGATTCATGACTATCAAATGTGGTTTCCACAATTTTATAATAAAAATACTAACGCATTAGAATGTTTAAGCCGTAATAAAACATTGAAACAACGTCGTACAATAGTAAAATTTTTAATTTCTAAGTACCATTATTTTGAATGTGTATCGGAAAAATGTGGAATAATTGAGGTAAGTGAATTTATTGACGGAATAATTTCAAACCATTTCAAATTGAGAAAAAACAATGCAATGCCCATACAACTCCCAAAAACACTAGTTTATACTTCAAGCTTACCAATTCTTGAAAGCAAAATGAAAAATTTGAAGCAACTAGCGAAATATATTCCAGCATATTCTAGCATTGCAATCATTTTGGAATTATATATTTTCGTTACAAACTAAGACTGTTACTAACCTCAAGCAAGGCAAAATAGAACATAAGATATTTATATAATTAAATTTCTAATTATTAAAAATATATCAAATATTTGTTATTCAATATTAGTATATAATATACTGTATATTATTTAATCATGTCAATTTAACTTTTATACATATTAAAGCTACTTATTTATAAGAAAACGGTTATTTTTCGAAATATAAATGGTAATTTGAAGCATAAATGGCACATGTCCACAACCTTAAAGTCCTTCAGATACCTACAGTTTAATTATATTTCTTTGATTGTAGAAATATGTATACCATGTCTTAAACTATATTATTCTATAACATACAATTTGTAATTCAATTTTTTCAAATATATTAAGTTTTTTGTGTTTCCTGAAAAAATGTAAAACATGGACATGTGTCCTTTCTGCATTTAGCGATTTATATACAGGACTATATACTGATAAGTAGGAAACGGATTTATACGTAATAAAAATACAGAAATATGTACATATATTTGTAAGTATAATTTATAAAATATATGCTAAAAACATCCAAATATGTGGGGAAAAAAGTTTAAAAAAGAATATTATTATTATTAAATTATCAAAATGATTTGTTGCATTGAATTATTATAA